GTTGCGTAAAAAAACCTTGATTTAGCATCAAGAACAGATATTTTGTCAAATTTGAATTTTTTTGTAAAATATTTGAATGTAATATTCCTCGATAATCTATGTAACATAATACAAACCATCTGTATTTCAGATTAAAAAATCCAAACCAAAAAAATCCCAAACATGCAGCGGTGTTGTTGGACAGTAGTATCAATTATGACAAACCTCTAGTACCTGTACAAGTGGCGGCCATCAGAGCTGAGCGTATTTCGCGGGAGAAGAAACAGCAACAACTTGCAGCAGCCAATGCTGCGGTAAGTACATTTTATTTATTGTTTATGAAGGTCTCAATAATGTCAGCCTTGCATTGCTGCTGTGTATGCAGTTATACATACTAATTACAGATAGTATTGTCCGTTGTATGTCCCTGTTCATTTGTGATAAAAATCAGGCATTTATGGATGGATTTTGTTTAAACTTGGTGCATACGTTGGACATTATAGGACCCTTGGCATTTTATTTTTCAGATCGGATTTAAAATGCCTGACTGGCGGCCTCAATGTGAATGCAGTTCTCGTGCCTTATTTCTGCCATGCTTTGACTGATTATGTTCAAATTTTATATATTCTACATCATGACATAGATATATTAGGTTGAGTATTGATTCAAAATGGCCAAATAGCAGCCATTTTCGTGCTAAAAAATCAAGCATTTCTGGCTCTACAGAACTGGATCTTGGCGTTTATGGATGGATTTTGTTCAAACTTTGTACATACATTAGATATTATGGGTTCCTGATGCACGTCATTTTATTTTTCAGATTGGATTCAATATGGCTGACTCGCAGCCATTTTGTTTAAATGAATGCACTTTTAGAGCCATATCTCTGATGTGCTTTGGCTGATTATGTTAAAATTTTATATATTTATTTTACATCATGCTGACTGGTGGCCATTTTGTTTAAATTAATGCTGTTCCAGATCAATATTTCTCAACATGGACAAGTATTTGCTTGAGAATCAGTTACGAGATGTCAATCATTTTAATCTTTAAAAGATCATCATAATCAAGCATCATCTTCTGGATCCATACTTCTGACGTGTTTATGTTCCAACTATATTACTATAACAGGAACTGTGTTTGTCAACATTTGCTTTCATCATTCATGCATAATGAGGGATCTCAAAGTGAACAGAAAACAGTCCATTTGCTAAGGCATGCCAGTTAGATTTCTTGCATGAACCTTTTCGGTAAATAATTCTTGTGTGCATTTTCCAAATGTTTTCAGGCTGCAGCAGAACAGCAACAGCAACAGCAACAGAGAATAGCTGCTGCACAACAGCAACAAGCAGCTGCAGCAGCAGCTGCTGCTGCTGCAGTTCAACAGCAGCAGCAAGTGGCTCAAGTCCAACAGGCTCAGCCAACTGCAACAGTTCAGGTTGCTCAAGCCGTGCCGGTAGCTGCTACAGCAACGACAACAACGGTTGTGGTATGTTACCTATTACAATGTCATCCTGAGTGGATATCATTACCTCATGCATATACGCAGTTTATATACATGTTGTCTCACAAAAGCTTTTATTACTGCATAGCAGTGTGTCCTCTAACCACTTTGTTCATAAAATATGAATTTTTATTTCACCGAATTCTATAACTATAGATTATTGTATCAATGTATAATTTCCTGTTGTGCCAATGACGTGCCAGTGAATTAGCACAACTAGTCAGTGGCACATCGTATCAGCTGAGAGGGCACACTTGTCAATTACAATTTTAAAAGTCAAGTTCTGTATGGCAAAACAAATTAAAAGTTTCACCCATAGCCATCGTTCCGATATGGAATATTTCGATTCTCAAGGAATGAATGTGTTATTACATGTGGCGGCTCCTGAGCAAGACTGAAATTTAATCTTACTGTGTAAATACTGGTGCTGCCTTATAACGTATGGTGTATCATTAATATGCCACACAATATTTCCATTGCCTTCCTGTTGTTGTTGACATTTTGCTATTTCTGAACCATCATGTACCTGACTTGTGTTTATGGTTGTACACAGCAAACTGGTCCACTTACAAGAACACCGCCAGTGAAAGCAGCCGGTAACAACAGTATAGTGGTGAACACTGCAGGCAGTGTGGCATCGGTGGGAGCTGGCACTACATTTGCCAACATTAATAAAAGAATGAGTCAAACTGCATCACTTCCGGGTCAAGTTACGGCTGCAGTAAGTTTTACCCAAAATCGTGTAGCTTTATCAAAATACTCTAAAAGTGATGATAAACAGATTACATCAGTTAATTTCTAGTATCCTATAGATGGATTGAAATATATGGCGATATTTGTCGAAATCTTAATCTCTATGAATATTTTTATTCATACTACTAAAAACTGAAATCTTTGACCCTTGTGGCAAATTAGTTTTTAATAATAGTAATAAAAACACCTTTTTTTTCGTAGACTATAAGTACTATTCCATCAACTATTGTTGGTGCAACAAGACAGCAGCAAATCCGAACACCTATACAGGTTTCAGCAGCTGAGGTAGCAGCAGTAGTTGCAGGGCAAGTACAGCGTACAGGTGGCATAACTACTGCAGTTGCTTCCCCAGTAACTGCTTTACAACAAGGAAGAATTGCTGTCACAACTACAGGTAAGAGTTTGTGGTCTTTGTACCTGTGACATGAAAAAAGATGTAATATGCCTGAAAAATAGCTGTTGGCCCAGTAATTTTTAAGCTTCATTTCCAATCCGGTGTTTAGTAAAAACTATGTGGAACCACATTGCGGATTCGGCAAGGTTACCTTTTTGCTTTTATCTGTGATTCTAAATAGCAAATATATTATTTCCTGCGTGCGGATGTGTTTTACCCCTGACATGCATTCTCTTCTGAGAAAACACTCACTTTACATTTCACAGGCAGCACCAAAAGCCTTACTCCTGCCCAAGTAGCTTACATAAAACAGCAGCAGCAGCAGCAACAACAACAGCAGTTACAGCGCAAGGCAATTGCCCAGCAGCAGCAGCAGCAACAGAATGTCCAGTTGCGATTACAGGTGAGAAGATGTGCAATGTTTTATGCAATGGGCTGGGCACATTTGGTGGCTATTAAGGATGCGTTTCCAACATGATCAAAATTGATCACAGTAAATCATTCAAAAATCGCATACGTCATTCATATTTAATTCTTTTTTACCGAGAAAGAAGGATGTATTTCCAACATGTGCAAAATAATCTAAAAAGCGAGCAACTTTGAAAAGCCAACTGTTTTTTTCTGATCTCCTGTCTGCCAATTCGTGAACTTGTTAAACTCCGCTGTCAACTTTGTCGAGCGTAGCTCATATGAGTGATTGTCCGTCGTCGCCAGTGTCAGTTTTTTACTTTTTTCGACTTGTTCTCAAAAACTACAAGCCTGATGGCTTTGATAGTTGCTGTATATGTATCTTAGGTAGACTTCACTTAGATTTGTTTATTTCATGATGATATATTCTATTCTCTAATTTTGATAAATATTTTTTTCATTTTTGGTAAAAAGTGATATTTTGACTTTTTGTTGAAAATTGCAAGTTTGATGGCTTTGATATTTGTACATGTAGGTGCATCTCATGTGAACTGATCTCAGATTTGTTCATTTTGTGATATCTTCAATTCTGTAATTGAACTGTGCATTGCTAGCAATTGGAGCTATCTCGACCAAGAAGCTGCTCGTTTGTCAACTTGCTGTCCCACTTGCTGTAATGTTTCCGCTATATCTTTAGCTTAGTTTAACGATAATTTCTCTATTTTTGCAGCAGCAGCAGCAGCAGCAGCAACAACAAATAAAACGTCTTCAGATCCATCAAGGTCAGGCTCAAGCTCATCCAGTAACACAAAAAGTGACGATTGTTAGTACTGGAGTGGTAACCAGTGTATCGCAAGCACATCTTGCAACACAGGCACGGCAGATACAGGTAAAGTCAGCTGATTGATTTCAGTATTACTGTCACTGATTGGTATTAGTCTTCTTCACTTCAATTTAATTTTTGCTCGCCCATTTTTTTGATTTGTTTGACCAATTTGGCACATAAGCAATACACAATTGTTTTAATACAACTTACCACTTAGTTTTTTGTTCTGATAAAATTTCCATGACAACCCCTACACTGTTTTTGACTTGTCTTTGAATGAAATACTGTATTTTGCAGGCATTAAAGCAGCAGCAACTGAAGACTACCAGGACTGTGACTGAAGCCGAGATGACTGCTCTGCTCCAGAGAAGGCAAGCTCTGCATCTGCATCAACAGCATCAACAGCAGCAAAAGGTTCAATCAGCAGCCCTGGTTGCTGCTAAATCAGTAGCGCCAGTTTCTGTGACTGGCACCTCGCTCTCTCTTGGTGGAATAACCGTGAATGTAACTAAACCGCAGCAACAAAAAGCAACAGTCACATTAACCTCACAGCAGCAACAGATTCGACATTTGCACCTGCTTCGGCAGCAAAAGCAGCAACAGGCACAGCATGCCCAGAAGGTGCAAGCATTAACAAAAAATCAAGGAACTGTACAATTTACATCGATGACTAAAGCACAACTGCAGCCACCGTTAACTCAGGCACAGCTGAAACAGCTGCAACAGTTGCAGCAACAGCAACAGAAACAGTTGCAAGGTTCTCCTGTTACTGTGCATCAGATTACAAAGTCGATACCGGTCATCTCGCAAACCACTGGTGGGATTTTGACAGTAACTTCACAGGCACCTTCCACAGTAATCACCACTCTACCCACTTCAGCCACCATTGTGACGTCATCACCTGGCATTGTCTCACATCAACAATTGGCTAAACTGCAGCAAGCTATGGCAGTGTCAAAACCTATGGTTGCAACTTCTCACTCGATTGTTCACGTGAGTAGTGCAGCAACGCTTAGTGTGCCGCCAACTGCCACAATGACTATCACCACTCCGGCTAAGCCTGTTATAGCTGTCACAACACAGCACCTCTCTCCTCAGGTGCATCAAACATTGCAGCACAAAGCACAAACACAGCAAGTTACACCACAGCCTGTGAGGGTGCAACAAGTACAGTTACAGCTACAGCAGCAGCAGCAGCAGCAGCAACAGCAGCAGCAGCAACAGCAGCAGCAGCAACAACAGCAGCAGCAGCAACAACAGCAGCAGCAGCAACAACAACAGCAGCAGCAACAACAACAGCAGCAGCAACAACAACAGCAGCAACAACAACAACACAGCAGCAGCAGCAACAACAGCAGCAGCAGCAGCAACAACAGCAGCAGCAGCAGCAACAACAGCAGCAACAACAGCAGCAGCAGCAGCAACCACAACAGGCAGCAAAGCCATCACCTTATGCTATGAGACTCAGAAATCCTCCAAAACATTAGACATTTGAAAAGAAAGAAAAAAAAAATGTATTTGTAATATTTACAAAATACAGCCAAATAGTTGTTGGTGGATATATTTTTCAATACTATGTGCTGTGACAAACACTCGCCATGTCTGATATGTTTGACATTTGCAATCATTTAGTAAAATACTACCTTTGTAGTTAATAATTTAAGAGAATAACCATTCCAACTTTTTTCATTTTTGGAAATACTTTTTTTTTCCTGCATGTACACTAGCTAAAATTCTGTATGATTTGTATGTATTTATTTGAAAACCCATTTGAAGAGTACATTAATAGACACATTTGTAAATATTTTTCCATTTTTTCCAACATTTTTGATTTCATACTTCTCTACAATGTTTTTTATTTGAAGCCGTCATCTTGCAATTATACCATTTGTGTTATCCTTGTGTGGTCAGTCCGGGGTTGGGGGTGTTACCATGTGATTCAAACTGTTTATTGGTTAAAAAATAATCACATGGTACTGTCAAAGTTCAAACGTGTTTGCGTGTTCAGGCAGTGTAATACATTCATACCAAACAAATTCTCTGGTTTTGGCAGATGTCTTCAAAAGTCATACAAGATTTTCTTCTATGCTGGGTACTGATAGGTGGAATCATTATTGCTGTATTTTGATTAAATTTCCTAATTCTGTTCTGCCAGCTTCTTCACTGAATTTCAAGGAGAATATGTAAACTCACTGGGGAGTGGTAGTTGGTCCCATTTTAAATATCGCTAAACATTAGTGTGGGGAATTTGAATAACTAAGTATGCCTACTGTTATGATCATTGACAAAGACTAGTCACTGGCCAATGTTGCAAGATTTTCAAATTTGTTACCGTAATACTGAGGATATGCCAAGAACGGACCTGCCGAGATGCTACGGAAAATCCAGTAATTCACCAATGTCGCGAGTTGTAGAGTGGGAATTGAAAGCTTAGACAGCTGGGTTGATTGTTCGATATAATACAATCAATGTAACACAACATTGTGTGTCTACCCATATGTAGACAATAGCAAATATATTCAAATAGTGAAATCGGATAAATTCAAGTCCTTGATGCCCTGCAAAAGACTTGATGTTAAGGTGCTTTGACTGTCGGTTTATTTTATGCGAATTGTGAGTTTGCTTAATTTTTACTTCGTAATCAGTTGAATTTGTACAAGGTAATACTATGGTTTTTTTTATCCCTTGGCAGTAGTCTCATCCAGGATGTCCCATTTGTACCACTTTCTGGGGATTCTCTGAATAAATGTGCAAAAACACTGCAAGAAATAGGCAATCATATTATTTGTGGCCAGCATTTTCAATCCAGAAGTCAGAGAAATATCTTTTTTTTGTATGATCTGGAAATGTCAATGGAATTTCCTCAACATTGGGAAATATAACTCGCACAAGTTCCTGATTATTGCCAAAGTATCTAGCGCTGTTGATGAGAAATTACTTTGTTCCCACCCACCAAAACACAAAGATTGGAAGGAGGATGATGAACTAGTAGATAATGTGTGCCAGAAAAGTAATTTTGACATGTTTGATGTTGCAGATACATTCAGTGGTTTGTAAAGGAAATAATAGGTTGTTAATAACATTGCGTATTATACAGGTTTTAATTTAGCGAAAGAAATGAGGGAGATAAAACCCAGCTACTGATTTAGGCCTCTGCAGTAGGTGATTTGAATGAAAATCATAGAAATATAACCAAGATAAAAACTACGTTGCCATAGCCTACAAAGATGAAATAATACAATTAAGGCACGATTTTAAAAAAAAGTTGTTTTTTTTGATTCAGTAAGGGACCCAAATCTTTAAGACAAGTTATCTTGCTCCCCCTTCAAATGCTGAATGAGATGCCAGTTATTTTGCTTTCCTCCCCAGTTTAACATCACGCTTACATGACAACACGCATTGGGATTGATTCATATTCCAGCACATGCATTTCATTTCTGTCAGTTTCACTCATCACAGGGAATGTTTTGCCAATTTTTTTTAGCCTAATTGGGGGGTGATGATAAATATACATGTGCATTGCAAAAGTTGTACCGTAGTTGAAGCCATTATTCTTATCCATGATGCCCTGTCAGTGTGCAATTTACCAGTGTCCCATTATAGTGCAGAAAGTCAACTTGAAAAGTTCATCGCGAAAACTGCACAATCGGCTTAGAATTTGTTTTTTGTTTAATTTTTTGTTTGTGAGAGCTGCACCTCAATCTTGTATACTCCCATATGGAGGCTTGATCAAATCTCCTAATATTAGACGTCCAATGAGCGTTTCAAGCACAGTTTGCTCACATACGAGATGTCCCATTGGATTTTGTCAAATATGTGAGCGAATAACCAACCAAAGTTGATAGTCTCAAGTGCTTGTACATTACATCTCATTTCAATCAGATAGTTATCGTGCCACATGTTGGATGTGTGTCCCATAGCAACGCATGGAAAATGCATTTCATTTTCAATCTGATTAAGCAATGCATAATGTGATGATAATAATGGCATTCATTCAGTGTTGAATAGTTTGTTGTCACCTTAATTGCCTTAAATGTTGTATTTAAAAAATGTTAATGGAAAGGAATTGTTTTTCCATCTTGTAAAATTAACTATAATACCAAACTTGTTGTATTAAAGTTGGGCTTTTTAACAAAATATTGCTTCAGTGTTGTCATTTGACCAATTTATATACCATGATGGTTTCCTGTCTTACCAGGACCGATGGAGTGGTTTAAAGGCAATATTCAAGTGTCTACTTATTACATTTTCAATGCAAGATTCCCACTAGCCTGATGTATAGGCACGAGTGGCACCCTCGCCGGCCGAAGGGCATCAGACCCCACACAGTGGAGAACGCAACATTGTCAGGCTATATTCCTCAAAGTAGCGAATATTTGTTGAGTGGGTTTTTTAGATTCAATTTTGTACCCTAGAACTAGTTTGCCAAGTGTTTAGCTCCGGTGTCTACTTTACAGAACTGCACGTATTACAGATTGTCAATTGGCGACAACTTCACATTTTCTGTCTTCCTGAAAATGGCTAGCTCATAAGAAACCATTTTTAAAAACTCATCGCAATGACGTTTTATTTTCATGAATTCATTAAATTTTTCCATTAGAAACAGTAGAAATAACGGTCAATTACAGAAAAATCATTTTCTCGCATTTGATACCGAAAAAGCATCTTTGAAATTAGCCCCAAGTAGAATCTCATTTCAGAGTAGCCACGAGTACAGTACTGCAGGTTGGCCGCCTCCTGAGCATCACCACTAACGTATCAGTGGGCGGAGTTGGGCGCAAGGAGGCTAACCTGCAGGACTGTACTGGGTGGGGCTACATTGAAAATTTCCTCACTCTGATATTCTAATGGTGTTCCCTGTCTAGTTTTATATATTATAGATGAACTCGTTGGGTATAATTTATAGTTGTACAATACATAGGGTTTGATATTGAGGAGCCGCAAGTCATTACTAATGATTGGGTTGTTGCCCTATGACTCGGCGAAGTTTTACACATATATATAATATTTTTACTAGAGTCGTAAAATCCGTAGGAAAGAATAAAAAGGGTCTTTCAAAAAGTAAATTAAAAAACTACAAAGAAATAAAAACTTGTTCTTAAAATATAAAACAAATTGTGAATACAGAATAGAAAACCACCTCCAATTTTAACCTAATACACTGATAGTTGTTGCTGTTTTGTTTCATAGCTGTAGGTGGTGCTCGTGTATGGTTTACCAAAATTATTATGAATTTATTCTGTTTTCTTTATCATAATTTTTCCCTATGATGACTGTAAGCTGGACATTTTAGTGCAAAATGTTGCTCATCCTCAACTATATTTTGGCTGCACATGTCACATGTTCTCTTATCCAGCGGCACATTATTATGTCTGCTTTTCTCAATTTTATGGTCATTTGATAATTTTATTGATACAGCGCCCTCGTTACTATAAAAACAAAAGAATTTACCCAGAATGCCTGTAAATTCAAAATGGCGCCGAAGTTGTCATGAAAACAAACTTTCGTTCACCAAGCGTCTAGTTGATGTTGCCAGCCGAATATGGCCACATTAGAAGGGATACCTGCATCTTCGGCATTTGGAAATCAATTGAGATGA